GCGAGACCGCCGGGGGAGGAGAGAGGGAGAGAGGACAAGCTGGACAAGTCAAGTCCAGCAGTGGGCCTCCTTTCATTGACTGCGGGGGTAAGTTGGAGGATGGGAAGGGAGTACACGTATAGCACTACCAGATATGGCATTGCAAGATTTCAACTAGGAACCCTACCTCCACAGCCATGTATTGCATCTCTCTTCATATCTGAACAATGAATCCGTCAGCAACGAAAGTGGAAGGGAAGAAGCAGCGCTGACTGGGCCAAGACACCCTGATCCAGGTTATGCGCTGCTCGTGCAAGGTAGGGTCGAGAACCAGGGAAACCGGCGGTTGCTCATTTCTTAACCGCCGCGCGAAACCTTCAAAATTCAAAAATTTCCTTTAAATTTTCTTTTTTATCTGGCGCGAATTTTGCCCGCAAACGAGCTTAGCCTGTGTCTTGCCATATCTAACGGCATACCAATTTTTACTGTGATCAAAACACTATTTTATTTTCATCGTCAGACAAGTCTGAGACGAACAGAGAAACACACAGACAGGACGAGACTATAAGTGGTTCTTTTCCCTTCAGGAGAGGAAGCTCACACAGAAAGATAAAGGAGGCATTAACTCACCAAGATTAAAGGTAAAGCTCCTCACGTAGACCGAAATAGTGTTTGCTATCTGAATGCGTCTGAGGAGGATGGGCTTGGGCAATCGGAGAGAGAGATTTAGGGCTTATAATCGATTTGGGATTGAAATTCTCCTCTCACGCGCATTAGACCCTAGCGGTATTTAACAGGATTTCGGCACAATCCGACATTCCAATACCGATATAAACTCGCACGATATTCTTTCGCTGTTTGTATCTCGACAAGGACGCATTTTAGAGCATTGCATTAAATTTTAGAGGCCTGTAAATAGAATATCCGAAGGAGCTGAAGAGGATTCAGAGGCTGACTTCAAAACTTGTGAGGGAGGAATGACAACTTCAATACGAGCGGCGCTCTGACGCTTTGCGACTGTAATCTCAGGAGTGAAGGTTGACGAAGGAAGATCTCAGCGCATTTAAGAGACTCTTTCTGAGAAAATCGTTCAGGGTGTGATGCATGATGTAATGGATTTTTCTGAATTCTTTACAGAACCATACGCATCATCCTGAAGGAAGCCATGTAAATAATGATATCTCTGGTGCAATTATGTTCAACGAATCATTGCCATGAAGGTCAGGGGTCGATCAATTGCATATGCCTAAGAAAGTTTGCATGCCATCAGGTTCAGTTTTCTTCCAGATGCCAAGTACCTGTTATCATCTGGTCTTTATAGTTAATATGAGCATGCACGTAGATGCATAATATACTTCTTAGCAAGTCCTTGAATAAATTATTTTACATGTAAATGAAAACAAGTAAGCTTGCCAAAAAAAAATGCCATGTTTGCAAATTTTTCTCAGCTTCATACATGCAAATACAATAATGAATCCTACTAAGTATGGTAGTTATCCAAAAGTACCACTGCTTGACATAATCTTTTCCAGCAAGTTGTAGAAAAACAGGAGAAAAACAGTAGTGATGTTAGCTAAAAGTGCAATATTGCACATTTTCAAGATTAAGTACCTCAATTTTTCAATTTTTTTCTGGCAAACCCAGTATGCCACTTCACTCATAAACACTCGAGTTAGGAAAGTGATTCATCCCAACACAATAAAAAATAAACACCTAAGGTGCGCGATTGACTGCTTCTGCTGTACGTGTCATTATTTTTTCGCATGTAGGAAATTCGATATACCAAGGCAGAAGATCGACATGCTCCCTCCAAATATGTACATCGGATAGAGGAAAATAAACACGTCCTGTTTGACGCTTTGCAGAAACTTACTATGTTTTTAATTTTTTGATACCTTTAACATGTAAATTTTTTTTTTTAACGAATATGAAGTCTTTAAAACATTCGGATAATGAAGCGCAGTCGTTAAAGCTTCAATAAGAAAATTCAACTTTTCCACCGTTTTCAGCAGTGCTCTACAAACATCTCATTTGTCGATAGAAAGCCTTTTTATGGATACATTCCTATCGCAGCTTTTAATAACGTCACAGCTGACAGAGGAAAACGTTGCTGTGATAAAGGTGTACTTCTAAAAGAGGTCCTGGAGAGCGGACGGATCACGCAGAACACAATCCATAATTTTGTTTAAAACTGAGTATTCTTTTCTCTCTCCAGTCCTTCATTTGAAAGAAAGAGTTCTTCGCATTAAAGATTTTCTCTCTTAGCTGTGGTCTAAGAGAAGCTGTACAGTCAAAAACATTACCTCGAGAACGTAGCCTTATTTAAATAAATAAAAAACTCAGGCGCCATTTGAAAAAAATCGCTTGAATGAAACTGAAACTGTTCCAGCCTGATAGGAGGAAAAGGGAAATTTTATCGCCGAAGTTGGAACAACTCTTGCTTTTTATTAAAACGACCTAGACATTTCAAACCTCCAGAAAACAAATTTTTGAGAGCTATCTTTATGGTAAAATATTTATTTTGCAAACTTATTATTTCGACGGTCGGTTTCATAAAGCCTCAAACTAGGCTTTTTTCACCACTCAGGATATATGTTTAGATGGAAAGACTTAGGGCCGTATTCACGTCTCTCCCTTAGCTAAGGGATCCCTTAAGAGTTAGGGGACCCCTAGTTAAGGGTTCCCTAAAAGATGATGACTGAAAAGGCTCGAAAATAAGGGTCCCCTAGGGGTACCGTATTCACGTTCTTCCCTTAGCTAGGGAATCCCTAAATGCGCCCCTAAGAGATATAGAAAGTTGTAAAGAAGTTAGGGGAGCCTTCAGCCGCTCTTAGTAGGTTCCTGCGAATTCGTTGCAGTCTTCCGGAGAACAGCATTCCCTCGTCAGGTTCATGTCTTTGCATATGGATATTGATATTGGATTCAGCGAATTCTTTTACCTGTTCATATAGATCAGTGGTCCTCAAACTTTTTTAGGCGAGGGCCTCATGGACACTTTACTCCACCTTGAGTGGGCCGCACTTATAACGTTAGTCAACCTGGAGTGAGCCGCATTAAGAAAGATCAACATTTCTGCATGGGTAACCCTTTATCTGCCCATCGACCTCTTGGTCATGCTACTTAAAATGGGAAGTACCATTTAAAAAACGGGGATTAAAAAAAAACCTGCCTATTTCCACACACACTTTCAACTCTTTTAGTCACAAAACTGCCACTACTCAGGGCTCGTGTAAACGCATCGGTTCTAGGTGCTACTTTGTCACAAGTTGCATTTTCGATAAATACTCCGTTTTTCTCATAAACTTCACCATTTACTTGGGAGGTAAGACACTTTTCTCTGCAGTACATGGATGCTCCGAATTTCGGGCAAGTTCAGCAGGTGCACACCTAAATACATAAGCATCTAATTGTAAATATGTATTATAAGCATCTGAATATCTAAACAATGTCTAAACTTGCCAGCTTACTACAAAGGGTTCCAAATATGGGATTTAAAAAAATTGATTGTCGCGATTATTCATGAGAGCCGATAAAACAGCAAAATGTGAAAAAAGTCCATTATTAATTCATCTTAGTGGGCCGCTTTTTTCATACCGCTGATATAGATCATGCTCTTGTAGTATTTTATCATTTGATTGACACTCCTGTCCTGTATGTTCCATCAATTGTCATCGATGCAGCATTGATGTAAAAGTACAACTGTAATTTTAAAATTGAACATAAATAATTTGTTTTGCATTACCGTTGCGTACCCGCTTGGGCCTAGGCCGGTACTCAAGCTAATGGGAAGAAAATCATTGCAATGAATCTTTTAGACGAAACAATGAGAGTTCATGAGATCAACTACAGTTTTTTTTGTACTAGTAGGACACATTTTCATTTGACCTTGGCACTAATTCATGGGAAGTACTATAACTGGGTATCATAGTCATCAAAAAGTGTCAGACTCAAGAGAGGAAAAAAAAGCAACAATCAATTTATCAGCAGAGATCCCTTGGTGGAGGCCACCAAGATGAAAGCATTCCAGCGCATGCGCCCTCTCCTCCATCTTCCTAAAGGATTCCCTAGCTAAGGGCCCAGCGCAGACCAACGTGAATACCATTTTTTGAGGAATCCTTACCTGGGGATCCCCTAACTGTTACGATATACTGTTCCTGGAAGAGTGACGTAAATATGGGCCTTAATGCAAACTCTGTATTAACAACTGTTGATCTGTTATTATTTTAAAAGAACGTTATTAAAACTATATCCAGCGAAAGGCAAGCCAAAGATTGAATTTTATTGCACTAAATGTTTGGTATGACCTGCATGGCATGCAAACAGCAGAACGAAGGCGTCTCCTCTGCTAAACTAACAGGAAACGCTCCGGTTCACTGTAATGATTTCCAATTTCTTTGAAATATGACTAATAGCCTTGACTCGCCACGAAGCATTTCAATGAAATCCCACAAAGCTCTTTAAAAATTATCGGCCTAGGCTCAGTGCAATTTTCTTAGTAATAGCTTAGTCAGTGCAGAGATTTTTCCCTCAAATTTGGAGTAGGAGGTATAATTTTTGCCGTGACTTCCATATAGCAGCAGTGAGTTTCACTCGACGACATCATCCTTCAAGTGGACAACGTGAATAAAAGGACTATTGGATTTTTAGGGAAGATTTCCATCCTTAGATGCTCTCAAAAGTGACGAAATGCCATGAGAAAAATCTATGAATGAGGTGCTGCCGGAGATAGAGTGCATTTAAAACGCAAGCTTCTAGAGGGAAAACTGGAAGCTCCCACATCTTCTACTACTAGAGTTGGGTTTAAGGATCCCTTAGCTAGGGGAGGAACGTGAATACGGAACATTTAGGGGATTCCTAACTTTCTTGAGTTAGGGGTCCCTTAACGGTTAGGGGAGCGACGTGAATACGGGCCTTATTTTAAGAGAGGGCTGGACTTCGACCCTGGACGTGAATGGGACGAGATACCACTTCTCGTTCCAGCCCGATGTTCAACTTTGAAAAGAAGGAAAAACTAGGACTTCTCATCTGCAGTAAATGATGCACGTCGAACTCGGAACGATAGCAGCGTTTTTTCTCTTGGGAAACGGGTGACTGGTATTCGGGTATTGCATGAAACTCACCTTGTAGACGTTGTGCTCGTCGGTGATGGTGTCGAGGAGAGAGAAGACGGTATTCATGCAGGTCACCATCTCCATCGGAGATTCCTCGGTCAGCAACAGGAGCTCCAGGAACATCACCGTCACCGCATCGAAGCTCTAATCAACGGGAAAGGAAGAAAGAAATCAAAAAGAATCCTCTCTTTCTGTCGGAGACACCTGTCCCTGCGGAGACACGAACTTGGCAAGTATTGATGGGATCGTCTCCGTTGCGGAGTTTATCGGCCACGCTCTGGGGAATCATGGAATAAAGGAGTTCGTCGCTTCGTTGTTTCCACTGGTCCAGTAGATTCAGGCTTTCCTCCAATCTCGCACTTCGTTCTTCCTGCTTCTCGTATGACACTTCCAGTCTGCAATCACGACAAATGACATCCGATGGACCCATCTCATTTATTAGATAGAGCCTCCGCACGACACGAAGTCACGGAATACCTCTTCTGCTCCGTTTCCTCCTTCTAATTTCTCCTCTCACCCGATATAAGACTTACATAGCAGCTACGTACGATATATCAAATCTCACAGGGAACCTGGACGAAACGGAAACCCGCCTCGTGCAAAATGTTTCCTCGATTCTCTGAGTTTCCGTTTAAACAGGTTTTACTGCATCCAATGAAACGATTTAAATTTAAAGACGCCCCGTCGTTTCCTTCTGAAGGGAGAAGGGTTCTCGTGTGCCTCCAACGATCATCATCTCGATAAGCGATCGACATCGAAAGGCCAAGAGGCTTTGGAATGGCGATTGCACTTCAACGAATGCCCTTGTCCGAGCCGTGCTCAGTCTCGTTACACTTTAACAGTTCGCATCTGCGGCTACTGGGTGGCGTGAAACGAAACGCGAGAAGATGAGTCTGTGAATCTTTTCGGTTCGACATCTTAGTGCTGCTCTAACAGTTCGTCGTCTCATCTTGAGGTTGGAGAATCGATTAAATAGTTCGGCAGGAGCAGCCACGACTCTCAGGCGGTTTCCCGCAACAAACTCATCTCTTACTCGAGTCTTCACGAAGGGATCCAACACTCCCCTGATAGTTATCGTTTAGAACTTTTTCACCGAGGGGGATCCTCGAAGGCGAGAATTCACCATCCAAAAGTCAACAACCTGCAGCTTTTGATGCAGCATGTAGAAAAATGAAACGATGTAAACATCTTCCGAGAGCTCTGCGTCGGAGTCAACTGTAAAATTAAGCCTCTGTAGAACCTTAATTTACTTCCCTTTAAGAGCTAACTTAATTACTTAAAAGTTAGCATTTTTAAAGCCGAGGGAGAAATCATAATTTCTTGTACCAGCTTTCCTGCAGAAAATAGAGAAGTTTTTTCAAAATCATCCCGTAAAGTATACCCCGTAAAGTATAAAGTATATCCCGTAAATATACACATGGGGTGAGAAAATAAAAATTTTTTCCAAAGGAGATTTCTCCGAGACCAGCCAACCTAGACGATTATACTCTTACGAGGAAACTGGCGACTCTTTCAGTGTATTATGACACGAAAATTTATCGTCTAAAAAGTTTCTCGATCGAATCGAAATTTGCAGCAAACGGCATACGAGATGTGATGTCAGTCTGGTGAAGGCGGCCTCGACCATAGAAGGCGGCACGGCGTTCCCGCTGGAGACGGCCGGCTGGAGTGGACTGAGAACAGCAGCTGCTATCTCATTCGCGAGTAGGAAAACTTGAACGTTTATCCAACTTTCCGCCGTTGGCTCGCTTTTTGCATCTCGTCGTCGCTGTAGAAACTCGAGTGGATTTTTTTTTTATTTCCAGGGGGAGGCCATCGTGGGCAATGAGACCATCGTGGCAGTTAAGTCCTTCTCTAAGACCCTGCACTCGTGAAAATTCTATGCTATACACTGGCGCAACGTCAAATCTGTAGTAATAGCTCGATTTCGATGAAAATGCGGCCCTTCATCTGGCTCATTCGTCTCGCCCACGAATTGCGCTTCTACGCATTTCTGAACGGAAAGACGAGGCCCTTCTTAAAAGTCCTTCGCACAGATGAGGGCTATGATGCCCGCCGATTGCCGGAACGATTCCTCGATCGGTGAAAGAAGCCTGCCGGCTCGTGGAGACACTATCGAAGAAGTCCCCTTTCTCGGAACGGCCGATTTCCCAGAAACATCTCATCGAACGTGAAAAGAGCCGCCAAACTTCGTAAAGAACTTACACTCCTATAGGTCGGCGAATCTCGAAGGAGATTCCGGTGCGCGCGCTGCATCGCCTCTTGCGATCGAGACCGTCTTCGCTCCACTGACGTCATATCCCGTGGGTCCCCGACTCTAAGTTTTCATTAAATCTCCTCGTGAGGACTTTTTTTGTCATCCCTTTGCGAGTTCGTCGCTGGGAATACTCTTCTCTCTCCTCGCCCCATCCCGATGCTCACCTGGAATTGTGCTGCCAGCCGGCAAGGACCATCTCTCGGCTCAGGTCGTGCATGCTCAGGTCCGTTAGGTACAGCCCCAGTTCCTGCAACTCCTGAAGGTCTCCTATCCTGCATACATAAAGGACGAGGAACAAAAATCGTCGATGTTCCTCGAGAACGGCTTCCGATCGTCGGTCGACGGACTCGACTATGTTTTTCATCTCCCGTAGCTGCATCGTCCCGATCTCGGTCGGCCATCGAAAGGAAGTCGCGGAATGAATTAGCTCGTTCTCTTCCTCTTTGCATAGCCTCCATTCAAATGCCAGTTAAGGCAGCTGCCCGGCACACAAAAAAAAAACATTGGAATCGATATCATTTTGATTTATAACTACTCGATATTTGTCTCGGGACGATATCGTATCGTCTTCCTGCAGTACCCCGATATATCGATTTTATCGTCAGCTGAGGGGAGGAGATGGGGAATTCCGAGAATGCTGAAAATCCTCCATTCCGACTCGATTCGATTTTATCGCTGCCGGAGAGAGGTGAAGAGAAAACCGCGATGTTCCTATTTTCTTGGAAATCGCGGCCTCCCTTTTCTTCCCTCTCATGACCATCGACAGGATGTAATAGTGGGCTGGAACGAGGAAGGGAGGGGGTGCAAGAGATTGTTTCCGTCGATCCTTCCTGTCTTCTATTCCAGCGCCGATCATCAAGATGCAATATCTTCATATTATATTTTCTATTATTGTTTTTCTTGTCGATGCTCGTAGCCGACACGAGCAGGCTAGGGTCCATGTATGATACAAGGAATTTTTGGTACGTTCTCGTCACCCGATACTAAAATTTCACCGAATGCATAAAGCACTGATGACACGTTGACTCGTTCACTTACGAAATGAAGACGAATGGGCGTAACTATGACTGCCTCCCATTTTCTCTTTTCTTTTTTTGGGCGAAGTTGACAGAGAAATAAGGGAAGTATCATATACGACGAGCAAGACGATCGTATCATGACACGACCCAAGTCGATCTTATGTGGTCTTCCTATGTACGAACTTTCTTACGGTCGAAACGGGAAAGGGAGACTTCTTTTCCCAGACTTCCCTAAACGATATGAAGTCTCTGTCTCTAAACGAAGAAATAATCCCCACCCGAAGGAGGCAGCGATGTCATGATGATATCCGTATAGACAACTTCGAGGATGATATCGATTCGCCTGCCCCAGGACGATATCAGTATCGCATCGCGATGTCTTTTTACGATATCGATGTATCGTGCAGCTCCATTTTGAATCTATCAAGAACGTGGGACGAGCGCGATACGAGTTTCTAAAATGTCATAGAAAGATGGATGATGCTATTCGGACGCAAAGAAGTGGCACTGACAGAGGCATGCAGAGGAAGGTGATGGCATCCCACTCGTTGATGAACCTCATCTGACCGCGAAGTAGGAGGGAGGATTTCTCGTTTCCGTCGCCGTCGTCTTCCTGAATGTGAATGTGATTTGAGGGTCGGATGTGAGCGACGTCCAATGCCTTGATGATCATGGACGCTCTTCTGCGAAACCCAGGACCGTCGAAGACACTCAACCCTTCCCCTCCGCCTCCTCCACCTCCTCCAGAACTTTCGTGGCTCAACCGTCTCTCCTTATAATGCACCACCTCCACCTCGAACATCACCTCCCGAAACTGCAACAACTGTACACGGAATGCGTCATTATGTGATCTCGTTGGAACTAATGGTTAATAATCAGCGCTTAGAGACGACACTTTCCAAGACGATTAAAGATAAATAAGGGGTGTCTCTCGAGGGACAATCTTAAGACAACATTTTTATCATTGGATCTGGGGTAACCATTTATTCAGTGAGAAGACTATTTGTAGACCTCGGAATGATGTCTCTGCTATCCTCCTCCCGTCTTGGTATGAATGGGAATTGATTTCTCTGACCCTCGTTTGGGTTTAAGCACGCTTCGTCACGCTCATCGCATCCAGAACGTTTCCAAAAGAGAAGTGATTAGTGAAGCAAAAACTTGGTGAAAATGATTTCTTTGACGAACTTCATATCTCTGACGAAGCTAATTTCCATTCGCATGGACGAGTAAACGGAAATATATAGGAATCTTATGATAAGAAAACCCCGAGTGCCGAAGAGCCTCTCCCGAGGCCCCTGCCAAGGCTCTGCATTCTCAAGCATTCAGCCTTGTGTGCGATTTCACGGATATGCATTATTGAGTCATTCTTTGACGAGGAAAATATGACTCACGATCACTCATTGTTAGAATATCCATTTGTTGCACGACCGGAACATCGAGGAACACGCCTGTTGCATGATCATTGTCGATCGATGAAGAATGCGCACCTTCTCGGTTTCTTTAAGCCAAACGAGACTCGAATAAAATCCATTCTCGGTCGTAGTGAATTGGGAGGAGGAAAGAAGTAACACCGTTCCGGGGTCTACAGCGGTAAGTCTACTCGATAAACGGTCACTCGATGATGAAAAAAGAAGTCGACCGTAGAAAGTGACTTCGTGGAAAACCCGTATTTTGGAATATCCTTCAGCTCGGATGACCCGTGGATAGACACGTGTCATCTGGGACCTCTATCTCTCTCGTCGGGAACATAAAAGGAGGGGGAAATGGAAAAGAAAGAACACTTTTTTTTTTTTAGCGTGATGTCGTGCACTCGTTAACGAGAATTCGGCACGGAATCCCCAAGAAAGGAGAGGGATTGACACTCGAGGAAGGAACCCCCTTCATGGATAATGGAGGAAAGTATGAAAGTATCATACGGAATCCCAGTCCCAGTCCATGCGAGGACGTCGAATGACAAAGAAGTTGGAGACGGGGGCATCCAACATGATGGCCGAGCCGAGGATCTCCTTCAACTTGATCCCCACGTCCACGATCTGAAGATCCTTGTTGAAGACGACGGAGAAGGGAAAGAGGCTGAGGACGACGCTTCCTCTCACGTGGGGCAACCGACTCACGGCCTTCTGGCTCATCAACTGGTTCCGAATCTCCTGGACGTAACCGCGGTTGTCGAACCGGAGGGCGAAGATGGTGTTGATCTGATTCAGCCTCTTCAGCTCCTTCACCTCCACGACCTCGATCTCCAAGTTGATCTCGTAGAAGTCTTTGGCCACCTGCGTCAACTGTCCCATCACGTACGGTGCGAACCCTCGTCTTTTGGACCTGAACCATTCCAACGGGATTCCCTCCGTAAATCCACGGACATCGATCGCGAATTCGCGACTACGAAGGAAGGGCTGACTTGTAATGCAAGATGGCACCCTGAGCGTTCTCCTGAGCCAAGTACATCGACGGACTCAGCATCTTCGGGTAACTGAACCTCATCTGATGGTGTATGTTGTCGATGCCTTTCAGGAAATCCCTGTAATACCTTCCCGTCGCATGGGCGAACTTGTCGTAGCCGTAGTGACTCCAATACCTATTCGTGCAGATCTATACTCGAATCGTTGCGACGTGCTATACCTCGTGCAAAATTCATCCGAGATTCGTTCGCGGCTCGCGATACATCGATTAGTTTTATTTCTGCGGCGAGTGCGGAATTTCCGCGATCGTTTCCTCGAACTCGCCGTGGATTTACTGTACTTGCCTGACGAAGCAGCGACCGAAAAACTCGAGAAAGTCTTCGGTCTTCGCGGTTCCGTCTGTCATCTCCGCGCACGCGATCCCGATTTTCGCGATCAAGTCGTCCGGATAAATTTTGTGAGTGGAAAATATGATGTTCCGGGCCGCTCCCGCCGCCTCCAATATGTCGTACCATGTCTCCTCCCCGTACTCCAGCTTCAAAGAGGAACCGCATTTTTCGTTGCGTTTCGTCGCGAGATCTCGCATCGATACCGTTACTCGTCTCGAACGTCGAGGAAGAACTCACGATGAGGAAATGCTGAACGGATTCGAAAATCATCCCATACATCTTGGCATGTCTTCGGGGAATCTCGAGCGAAATCGAGGACCTTTGACGAAAGGACAAAAGGAAAGAATTCTCTGGGGTGGAACGATACCGTTCGAGAAGGAATCCTCATGCATACAGATGCACTCGATCAGCATACCGAGCGACGAGTCCAAACACCGGAGATTATTCAATGTCTCGTGGGATGCACGCGTCTCCGAAGTCTCGTGTCGTCCCGGTCCATCGCCTCCAGGGGGAACGAATCGCTCGAGCCGTCAAACTGAGAAAAAACTCCTTTTCAGAACTTGCACGCGTGGAATGCCGATCGGATTTTTCACTTTCGTCCGAAATCTTTCGAGAAGGAGAGAAAGAGAGAAAAAGAGAGAGAACGGAAGAAAAGTTTCGCAGCGGTCGAGCGGAACAAAATCTCGCAAGAACTCCCATAAATTTTCTCCACGACTCGAACCGATGAAATTGGATATAGAAAATCCTTCGCGGGAGAACGCATCCATCACGTGCAGAAAAGACACCAAGAGGAAAGAGGACCTTCTCTTTCCCGAGTCGAGATCACTGCTTTTCTGGCACCGGAACGATGGGACGGGAAGGTATCGGATGGGATCGGAGGGGGTCGGATCGGGTGGGATCGGGTGGGATCGGAGGGGGTCGATCTGATGGGATCGGAGGGGGTCGGATCCGATGGGATCGGATGAGAGGAGGTCGCGGAACTACCTCGTTTCCCCGAGTCCGGCTGGGAACACGATGGGAGAAGGGGCGGAAGGGGCACGAAGACTCCTCCTTTTATTTAGCGCATGAGCCGCAAATCCGTTTTCGATGGGTCTCGTCTCAATTTCCTTCGCAGTCTCGTCGACCCCCCACTTCACATGCATGAAAAAAACACGACGGAGGGCGATAGACCTCGTTTTCCGGATTTCTTCGAGGATATTAGCCCCATCATCCTCCCTCTCGCGCGATGCATCTCCCTCTTCGCTGCATCGCATCGTCCACGCATGGATTCTTCTTTCCCGTTCGATGCTCAAAGTAGATTGCCGCTCGACCGACGACGTCTGCGAGGGACCGCGTCGCCTTTCCGATCCCGACGATGGGATCCGATCGAGGCCGCGATCGGCGGAACGCGAACTCCGAACCCTTCTTTTCCGAAAATCCTCCGGCGGTGCGTCCGATCCGAAGACGTCACGGATGTCATCGGGTAGATCCCGACCGAAAGAATAAAAATAACCACAGGCTCGATCTAATCGATTGCAGGAGCTCGAGGGTCGAGAGTCCGAAACTAATTATACCTACCGACGTATTTTCCGAGATTTATTTCCACGAAAAGCCGATGAAGGGTCTCGTGGCGTTCGTCATCTCGGAAACGTCGGAACAGAGCAAGGGTCCTTCCTTCAGGTGGATCCTCGAGGTGGACCGTTTGAGGTGGATCCTCGAGGTGGACCGTTTGAAGTGGATCCTCGAGGTGAACCCTTAAAGCAGACCCTATTTACTTCCCACCGACCGCTTTTGGGGACCCTTCACGAGTCTCATCGTCCGTCACGGATGACAGACTGCAGCCGCGATTTTGGCGTCTTCTCGTTTCGGTTCCGAACATCTCGAAGGTTCGAGTGGCTTCCGCGTCTCGTCCGTCGCTCGTCGATCTCGTCGCGCGGTTTTTTTTACCCGGGATCCTGGACCTCTCTCACCGATCGGCTCGAGCCCGTGGACACGCGCGAATCGTCGGTCGAGTTTCGTACTCGGTACTCGCGACGTCGGGACACGCGATCCCGCGCTTTCCGGTCCGAGAGTCCCGAGTCCGAGGTTTTCCTCTCTCGATCGTTCGAGGAGCGATCCGTCACCGCTCGCCCCCCCTCGCCGAATGAGATCTACATCGGTAACATCACTCTCGGCTCGTTACCGATGCTCGTGTCGATTTACGAACTATGGAAGGAGAGTCCGGGGGCGGGGGGGGAGGGGGGAAAGAGGGGGGGGGGGGGATGTGATGCGTCCTGCCCTGTTCCCTCCGTTTCCACGAAACGGCTTCCTTTTCCTGGCTGCCAGAGTTTCTCTGTCGCGAAAGGCAATTCGTGGAGTGTCGTCGCGATTAAAAGTCCTCCCTCCGAATTTCCCCCTCCGACGATTCCGAGCGTCTTCACGCGGACGGTGACGAGTTCTGGCAAGCGGAAGCGAGTAGAACGACGCGAAAACGGCAGGAAAGAAGACCGAGTCATTGCGGTGCGCTCGGAGCAGGGCCACGGAGAGGAACGAGAGTCTTCTTTTTGTCGAAGGCGAGGACGGAAAGGAATTCTGGACTCTCGATGGACTCCACGGCTTCCGGTGAGTCTACCTGCCGGCATTTCGAACCGTGACCCCGGCGGCTCGAGCGGTTCGATGTCTTCCGTTCCGACGATTTCGTGCTCGCGTTCCACCGGTCTCTTCCGTTCCGTCGTCCGCCGCGCACATCGGGGACGTCGTAACCGCTCTTTTCGGACCGTCGTCGGATTCTAAAGGAGTCCGTCGTCGTAGACGTTCTTGAAAGACGAACCGCGACGCATAGGCGCGTTTGTGGTCGAGCGTCGACCGTCCCCTACTCCCCATACCTCCCCCCCCCCCTCCCCCCTCTCTCTGGAGATGAGGGATACCTGTGCACCCACACTCGCGCCGAACAGACGAGTAGACGAGGGACGGGGGGGGGGGGGGGGGGGGGGGGGA